ATTTCAGTTTTTTTTTTTTTTTTTTTTTTTTTCGGTTAAACGTTTTTGGATGGATTTCACGCATTTTTGGGCCTCGCATGATTTAGTGGTTAGGGCACTCGACCCGAAATCTGAGGATCGCGGATTCAAATTCCGTCCCCGAACATACTTACCCTTTCAGCCGTGGGGGTATTATAATGTAACAATCAATCCCATTATTCGTCGGTAAAGAGTATCTCAGGAGTTGGCGGTAGGCGATGTTGACTAGATGCTTTTCCTCTAGTCTAAAACATCAAAATTAAGGACAGCTTGCGTAGATAACCATGGAATAGCTTTGCGCAAAATTCAAAACAAACAATTAAATTCATGCATTTTTATGTTACATCACCAAAAACATTCTATAGTCATTATTTGGTTAACTCAGTCCAGTTTGAAAGTGTTATTTTCTAGCATAATCAAAAATAGGAATATATCAGATGTTTCTCGGTGGATTCTATATGGAAAAAAAAACAAAAAAACATGAAGGATCTGATTTCGATGGGGCAATATCCGTACCCTCGAGGGTTTTTGAATATGATGTCATCAGAATGACGAACTATTTGAAATATATTTAACAAGAGAAACAACCATTTTTGAGCGCTCTTGGTTATCTCCGAAACCGAAATACCTGCCAAGTTGTTGTTGCCCACTATTCGGTAAAGAGTAGTCTCGCAGATGACAAGTGCTGTATATAGTTGTCTTTCTTTTCTCCCCCCCCCCCCCAGTGGCTTAGCGGTATCTGTTACAACACTAGAAACCTGGTTTCGATACCCGTGGTGGCTAGAGTATAGATAGCACATTGTGTAGCTTTGTGCTTAATTACAAACAAACCTTTAGTCAGTATTCTTAATTTAGGTATGGTAAATTAGGTGTTTAGCTCATGCATTGCATAAGATGTCATTCAGTTTTAAAAATAGCAAATACCTTTGTCTTAAAAATAGGTTTCTTGACTCTTTTTTTATTTTTGATATACAGCCAGTAGCACGGCGGTATATCTGCGAACTTACAATGCTAGAAACTAGATTTCGATACCAGTGGTGGCAGAACACTGGTAGCCCATTGTGTAGCTTTGTGCTAACTTCAAACGAACAATATTCGATAAATGTCAACATCTTCCATTTTACTTACTAATACATTTAATATTCTTGTCATTCTTATAATTTAATTTTCATATTTTTCCTTGAATAAATAGGCTTTTGGTTAACACGCAATAATCTGAAGAAATAATTTTCTTTTCTGCTTGTTTGAATTTATTTAGACTCAACATAATAGTATTAACATGATAAAACTGTTAGTAAGATATATTATTGAGTTTTGTTATTTACAGTAAGCAGCACCAGGAGGAAAGGAGTACTGTCAAATCATGGAAACGGGTTAGTGTTTAGGTTGTGTAATTTCTTAGGGCGTTGATTCGATTCGAAATAAGTGCGTGTTATACTTATTTTAAGTTTAGTTAAATTCTCTTATAATTATATACAAGTACTTGAAGTAGTTAAGGCACTAAAGGCTTAAGCGATAAAGTAATTATATTTTCCGCGTAGTTTTGAGTATTATTATAATTATATGAATGGTATTATTAATATTTACAATGTTTTTATGCATTGATAAACAGTAACACTCCAACGTAACGTAAGTTATTAATTGAATATGCCTATTTTTATACTTGTTAATTTCTTTTTTTTTCACTAAAACTTGAATTTTGGTTAAAATGATGTTAGCACTAAAGCCTAAAGTAGAGGCCTAAACTATTTCATTCGCTACTTCCGCTGCAACAATTTTGACTACAATTAATAATATTATTAACTTAATATTATTTAGTAACACTGTGTTAATTCGGTATTTTTTAAAGATATATGTAAATTGTATTTCTAACGTTAATTGTTGATTTTAGACTCGAGTTGCATTATATATTAATACTTATTTAGTACGTTCATGGGATATATTTATTATTAATTATGTATAGCATTAGGTTTAGGCCTGTTGGTTTAACTTTAAATGGGCCTACGTTATTTAGTAAGATACATATTACTTTATTAATATTAGATTAAAATTCATCTACAGTGATCTTTGTAAATGTAACTTTGTAAATTTTAAAACTAAAAAGCACTACTGGTCAGTTAAATCTATAGCTTTCAGATTATAATATGAATATGAATTTTTACTTGTTTTTTTAAGTTATGAGAAGGGTTACCAAATGTCCCAGAACAAATGTAATGACCTCAGTTTTTATCCGTTTTTGTTGTTGTTGTTGTTCCAATCAGAAACAGTAAAAGTATTAAATTTTGTATCCAAATTTATCTCAATGTGAGTTTGCTATGTAAAGTTTGTCATTATACATGGCTCCTATAAATTTGACTTGGAGAATCGCCTCACAAAAATCACATGATATTGTCCCCCTCCTTCTCTGCTACACTTTCTTAACCTAACTTGTAATTGGACAGCTGCAGTTGTAGGAACTGAGATTTAAATATATGCATAGCTGCGTAAAAAGAATATGAACTAGCAAGACTTATGAGTAGGCTCAAGACAACTTATGCATGTTTATTATTTTAATGATTATTTTAACTAGATAAGCTTTTAACTATTTGGTTTATCTGTGGTTTTAAAACCCAATATTATAAACATCAGATTATTTAACAAATGATGATAAGTGTGCTATTGTAATTTAAACTGTTTCAGAGCTGTTAGTGTCACTCCACATGGGAAAGAAATTTCCCAGTTTTTCACTCTGAAAAAAAAAATTCACTATTGTTTTTGCCAAATGTAACATAAGAAAAAGCTTACAACTTTTTAATTGCTTATTTTACCTTATAAACCAGTTATTATTATTTATTTCTTTTTGAATATTTCTTTCAAAGTAAAATTTCAGTTTAAAATTGGTACAATTGATGTCATTCTTCATTTTTTCTTGGGCTTTCCTACCACTTACCAGTTTAGTTAAGAGCTGACATGTGGTGATGAACAAAGAAAGGCTTAGTATTTAAAAATTAAAAATTTTAGAAAAAACATCATTAAAGAAAAATGCATACTGTTGTACAGTGAAGTATTGAGGTAAAAATGTTTACAAATATGGTAAAAAGGAAAGTGATAATTTTCTTTTTCAATAAAAATGAGTGAAAATTATATTTCTCTTCGTGCCCGCATTCGGTGATGATAACTTGCATATATGTAAAATACACTGAGTATGATTTTTATACAAGAATGTTTCCATGTTATAGAAATGATATTGTTACTATCAATTGTTCAAATACTTCCATTTTTAATAGAAAAATTTTAATATTATGAAAAAATGTACTTAAAATTATGTCTCTGCTATTTTTATTAAGTGTATTATGAGTATTTTTGAATTTTTTTTCCAAACATTATAGCAATGTACTATGTGGCAGAGTAAAACTAATTACAGAATGTTTTTGGTCAGCTAGAATCACAAATCTGAATTTCAAGTGACCATACCGAGCATAGTTTGATGGTATTTTAAATAGCATGAGTTTTGTAAGGTTGAAAGTTATAGTGGACTCTTCTTGTCTTGCTTTTTGAGGCTGAAATATTAACTTTTCAAGAAACAAGGCAGGAGAAATACATTACAGACTTTGACCTTACACTGAATGTAACAAGTTCTCCCACTTGTTAAGAAACTAAATTTCAAATTCGGTCTTTGTCAGATGTAAATATGTTTTACAAATTAATAAAAGATTAAAATATATATGTAGTTCCTACAGAAATAGATGACACAAAGGTATTTGACCTGGTAAGATCAGCCTCTGTTCAACCATCTCAAGTCAATATTCAGATGTCTAATATAAAGCTGAAAACTAAAAACCTCAGTCAATTCATAAATTCATTCAAAAAAATATTAACATTTTAGAATCTATTAAAAAGGACCATATATTTATGTTTAACTATGTCTACAGATTAATAACAAAAAGAAAAATGACATACAGATTTTCAAAGATTCCACTTGATATTTCTAACATCCAACTTTCCCAAATAGTCCATAACATAAGGAAATGATTTTTGCTGAAGGAATTATCAATAAGTTACTTAAACATACTTCTGATATTAATATCTTTGGTGTTGCTGGCTGTGAGGAGGAGGATGCTTCTGCTTGACAAAGGATTTAGATCATTTGGATGATGGCTCTTAATTATAATGAAATGCATGTGGGTTATCATAATTTGAATGGTAAATATTATTTTGATGGGAATAACCTGAACAGTATTAGAAATGAAAAGGATCTTGGTGTTCTAGAGTATTCTGTTCAGTCTTGGTCTCCTTACCTTAGAAAGGACACTGGCATGTTGGAAAGGGTTCAGTGAAGGGATACAAGGAAGATGTGGGATGGAAAGATTATCCTATGAGAAACAGGTTAAGATCTCTGAAATTGATTTTTCTAGAAATAAGAGTTAGAGGATATCTGATTGAGATGTTTAACCCTTAGGTTACTGTGTCCTTACATTTTGAGGATGCAACTTAACTATCATCATATTTTGTTCCAAAAATAAAATTAGTAGATGAAATTGTTTGAAACTTGACAGGAGCTTTCTTAAAGGCACGTAGTTTCAGAAAAGTAAAATATTTAATGTTGATTTTTTCTACTGTTTCTACTAAAAATTCATTATTTATTGTAGTTATTTGCACTCAAACTCTGAATTGTTAAAGTGCAAGGTGATTTTCACATTAAGTATAAAAAATACTATTTTATTTTACAGTTTTTCAAATTTCATTTGCATAACCTCTAGAACCTCCTTAATGAAAATCAAAAGTTTTTTAAGGTAAATGTTTATATTTTATTGTTCATTTTTTCTACCATATCATATCACTAACTGTAGCTACTATCATCAGTGTACAGTACTATGAAATGTTTAAAATTAAGAAATAGAAATATGTACATACCTTTTAACTTTTTGTTGAATAATTTTAAAATATTTCTTTGGGTTATATGTGTAATTTCATGTCTTTACCTTATCACTTATAGTTTATTTCTAATGTTTTATTTTCATTTCTTGTTCTTTCTTTACTTTTTATTATTCATCTTGACACACATCAGTGGGTGCCCCTTGGATTATATAATTGTCTCATCAGATAAGATACTTTAGACTTTGGCAAAATGTTTTTGCACTCTCTTCGTAACATAAGCCTTGAGGAGCAAGGCAAAATTATGGTTATATGGAAAAAAATTCTTAAGCCTTTCAAACATAATAATACATAATTAACTATAATATAAAATTAAAACCTAAATAAAATTTAACTGTGTATTAGAGTAATACTTATCAAGGTGAGCAACAACATTAGTGAGGACAAATACTGCAACAATACTTCAGCTGTTAAATGTACTTGAGAACAAATATTTGTGTACCAATTATAAAATAATTATTATTCGATTGTAGTTTAAAATGAACTCTTTGTATTGGTTATAAACTGTATGTTAAATAAGTATACTTGGCTTGTAAAGCTCAAGCCTTAAGTATAGAAGATGGGCATGGCTACTGTCAGGGGGTATGAATATTTATTTTTGTTCACTGAATTGACACAAAGAAATTTGAAACAAGTGATAGGTAAATAGCCCTGGACACTTAGGTTTGAGTCTAGACATGCACGTACACTGCAGATTGAGTATTATTCAACTACTATAAATGAAAAGTTAAAATTTGTGGATGCTTGTGACAACAAAACTGAAATTTAAGTATATTTTTAAAGGTTTCTTTCAAAATAAGAGAATTAAAACTTAGATATATGAAAGTTTGAATTATACATAATAATGCTTATTTTATTAAAGTACATTGATAGTAAAGTTTAATTTTATTTTGAATGTAACTCAGTAAAACCTCATGACATGTTCAGAAAGTTTAAAGAGTATGTGTTAATCAGAGGGTTAAGATTGCTAATGGAATTGATAATGTTGATGCATCATCTTTTTTCTTACTTAATGGTGGGAATGTTAGGACTAGGGGATATGTTTTGGCATGGTAGGTGTCATCTTCAGTTAAGTGTAATTTTTATAAAAGGGTAGATGGCCTTTGAAATAGTTGCCTTCAGATGTGGATGCAGTAAATTTAAGGGAGCCTAAGGGAAGGCTTGATAAATATTTCAATTATAAGGACTGGATTTGAGTTTTTGTTTTCTTTTGTATTTTTGTAGTGAATGGGATGACCTAGATGGACCAATAGGTCCATTGTTGCCCTTAAAGTTTGTGTTACATTAAAACATTATATATATAGACAACAAGGAATCATTTGGTCTTTTAAAGCTGTCCTTGCACACCCACTCTTGGGAAAAGTAACAATTTAAGCCTACT